GAGGGGGCTGCCTAGGGCAGCACAAAACCAGGATACACCACTGACTACAGGGGCATGATCTATACATCAAAAATGCTTGTTTAGGCTAATGTTGTTTTGGTGACTATAATGTCCCTTTAATTTTATAAGTAATACTCTTCAAATAATATGTGAACACAGAGTCAAGATATGCTATCATTCCATTAAATAAAATACATCATAATTTCACCCCAAATATAAACCATTTCTTTTATCAGAGATTTATTCTCTTCATTTATCATTTGTGACTTTGAGTGACTCCATATATTATGTACGCTTGCATTCCATCTACAACAATGTGATTAATACTTTGTAGAGATAAAGTGCAATATATTTAAAAACCACAAGGAAAATAAATTGCATGTGTGAATATAAAACTGAAATATATTGGTAAGGAAAATTATTTTAATAAAACAAACCAAATGGCCAGTATTTGAATTTTAAAAAGCCCCAGGGAAAAGATTATCTAAATCTGGTATTGTACAAGGTAACTTGACGATGTATACAGATCCTACAATATATCTATAGTCTCTTATTTAATGTTGAAAGGGTTAACTACATTTTTGTAAGTCAACACTGTATTGCTCGGAGAGTCATTGCAAGACAGTAGATTATTGGGTTCTTTGGATAATATTGATTCTGGCCCCCAGGTCAATCACAACTCCACTCCAAAAAAAAGGCAAGCCCTCACCACAATTTTCATGATAGATCTATAGTGGTTGTGGTACGAGCAATGGTACCCATTGGTTGTTTAGTGCGAATAATAAACGCTTCTTCGTTGAGTGAGTGGTTGGGTTTCTGAAATGTATTTATGATTATATTACCATCAATGATAGCTCAGTAATAGATAGAAACAACTGAAATAAGTGCAAAAATAAATAAATATGACCTTAATTAAAAGGAGGGTAACTGTGAGGACACATATTGATCCAGAGCAGTAACAGCGAAGGATTCCTGAGCAACTCTCCTGCTAAGAAAAGCTTCAGGGCTGTCTGGGTCAAGCTGTCTTGCGCCTCTTGAGGGTCTCTAGAGAGAACACCATTGTTATCTTATGGATGGCAATAAATCAGCAATTTTAGAAGAATTTCTGAAGTAGTGTGTTACCTTTTTTCCTATATGGCTATTATTTGATAGGGAGGTATGAAATCGGGATGGGGTGGGTAAGAGTAAAGGGAGTAGGCCAGTGAAGAGAACCGTGTCACTGGCACCATGCAAATAAGCAGAAAGGGGCATGCCTGCCTGGGGTGAATGCATGCAAGGCCGACTGACAGTCATAATGGCCGACCCCACTTGTGATTGCAGTGAGTGAGTTGACAATATGTGGGTTTATGTCTAAAATGTTTTCTTTTCTGATAGTGATGTAAATACAGGGCAGCAACCTGCATGCTGTTTCCACTGGTTTCTATAATGAGCTAGGCCTGGCGGAAGCTGCGGTAGGGAGAAGCGGGCAATCTCCTGGCCTGACACGTCCAGCTAAGTTGATGTTGCCCCACAACCCCCCCTTTGGTCCTGCGGGGGTGATCCCGTACCCCAACCAGGGGGTTCCTGTACTCTGAGAGAGAACACTGCTACAAAGCATGGCTCCTCCGTGGGCAGCGCAGTTAAAATGGCAGAGGCCACATGTTCCCAGGCACAATGGGGAGCGTGGTCTAACCTGGATGCCCTTTTGACCAGTTCTGGGCGAAGCTACAATGCAGGTCCCCAGGACCGACTAATCACTCATACCCCTATATGCACCCGCATAAGACGGCGTAGACGGCATAAACAAAGCCTGAGTAGCTCTAAGCCAAGGTGGAGCAATCACAACTCACAGTCTGGGTCACCTGCGGGGGGCCAAAGATAGAAGGTGTGCAGAAAACATGAAGCCAGGACTGGCCTATCTGCATGGGTAGGGTGATAGCCTCCCAGAAAAGCTTTTAAACACAAGGCTGGAAAGATGAAGGGTACATCTGGATTCCAGCAATTGTCAGCTTAGCTCTGTTAACATGTCACAAAGGTGGGTCAGGTAATAACATTGTAGAACAAGTGGCAGAATGAGCTATACCAAAGGAAAAAAGTTACCTGCGCTCTTCCTAAATCCCTAAGCATAGTTCAATAAATGGAGGTTATTTAGTAACTCCAATGGCGATTAGATGGAAGCCCACTTGCCACGTCAAGGTGTTTCAAAGTACTACTGTACTCATTAAGAATGGATATATGTATTTCCATGTTTGGGACAAGGAGGAGTTGTGGTGGAGAGAATTTAGAGAGAGAGGCCCAGGTTCTTTATGTGTGCCAGCCCTGAGTATGAAAAGAAGCTTCACTGGAGAGTACTGCCTCAAGACATAATGCAATGGGGAAAATGTAGAAACTTTAGGACTTCTACTTCATAAAATCTTAATTGGCAAGTTAGTAAAACAGATTTAAAAAAAAAAAATAGCAAGAGCACAATGTATCCTAAATATTTGAAAAGAGACTGTAGTCTCAATTTCCTGTTCTCAGTTGACAAGCTGGTGGGGTAGTCTATCTCTCCAGCCCATGTATTTCAAGGTTTTATGAATGTCCAGAGATAATCATCTCCATAGCACCGTTGTAAAAAAAATGGTTTCTTCAATTTCAAGTCATCTTGAGAAAATGTGGTCATTCTACACTGACGTCTCACATTTTTGCTCAAAGAACTGCAGATCACAGAATATTTTTGTTTTTCACACCAAGCTCAATAAACTCTCAATATATGGCACCAATATAGTTTCTACAATATTACTTAACATGTCTTCCTCACCATGAACATTAAATTGAATTGAATAGATGATAGACAGACAGATAGCATTTTTTATTTTTAAATTGATAATTGAGGATTGGTATAAAATCGCTAAATTGTAAAACTTAATACATTTGCAACAAACCTCTTTATAACATAACAGTCCTTGTGACTGATCTACCATGAAAAGGTTACAATAACATAATGTAGTTTTATTTTTATTGACATTTGAATCAAGACTGCCATCTGTTGGAATTAAATATAATGGCATGCTGAAGGAGTTTACTTTGACCTGTATATGTACATTTCTAAATGTGTATGCTTTCAAGTCACCGTAAACCTCTTATTTATATGTTCTTTAATTCCCACAATTCAACTGCAGAACTGAAGAGTAAAAAATAAATAGATCCGATTATGCTTTAAAGGGATAATATGCCTTCAATATCACACTATATTTAATAACCAAGTTTTGTGGATCAAGCAGGCACAACAATTTAACAATTATATGTACAATTTTACACTGAAAACTCACTGATTGCACCCTGTTTAAAGTTACATAGAAACATAGAATGTGACGGCAGATAAGAACCATTCGGCCCAGTTTTCCATTTTATAGTTTCCTCTTTTACTGTGTTGATTCCCTTTATGTATTTAAAGGGACACTATAGTCACCCAGACCACTTCAGCTCAATGAAGTGGTCTGGGTGCTAGGTCCCTCTAGGGTTAACCCTGCCTGATGTAAACATAGCAGTTTCAGAGAAACTGCTATGTTTACATTTGGGGTTAAGCCAGCCTCTAGTGGCTGTCTTCCGGACACCCACTAGAGGTGCATCTGTGATTCTGGAGGCATTTAATGCCTCCATCACGCAGAGCGTCCATAGGAAAGCATTGAAAAATGCTTTCCTATGGACACTTTGAATGCGCATGCGGCACTGCCGCGTATGCGTATTCCGCTCTACTGAGGAGGAGAGGTAAGGGAGCCCAGCGGTGGAAGAAGGTGAGTAACTGAAGGGGTTTTATCCCCTTCAGCACCACGGGAGGGGTACCCTGAGGATGGGGGCACCCTCAGGATACTATAGTGTCAGGAAAACCAATTGGTTTTCCTGACACTATAGTGATCCTTTAAGGGTTTCTATTATATCCCCCCTGCCTCATCCTCCCTCCAAGCTATATATGTAACCACATACAGGCTTTCGTAGGCAACAATGCATAGGCGACCTAAACTTGGTTGACCTCAATCTGGGCTGTCAATCCTTACATAGGTTAATAATCTTAAAATTATTAAAAATGGTGGAAGATATTTTAGTTAATAACTTATAAAGTGCAAGTAACAACACGCAAACGAAATGTTAACTTATAGACACATGCAGCAACCTATTTTGAACCCTGATATAAAAATTCCCAACAACAAGTAAATCTAATATAAAGGTGCGCACTATAAATCTAAACCCAACAGTGTATAGATTAAAAGTCAATACGTATAAGTCACCAAATGTTTCCAACTAAAAAGGAAACAATCTTGCTACCCGTGAGTGTCACAAAACACACTGTTATATAGTGAGTAGTATAAAATATACTTGTACAATGATTGATATGATTTATTTGTTTCTCCGGTTCGGTGATTGTGGTGTCTGCCAGAGTGCTTGGAGTCCTCAGGAAGCGCTAGGAGCATCCTTCAACTGAGGTACCCAGTCGGGGTGCCAAGCCACACCATTTAACTATTCTTGCCTCTACAGAGTGTACCAAGGTGTCAGAGAATATTTTTATATCATATTATATATGAAGATTCTGAAAAGAAGTCCAGCTATAGATCCCAAATAGAATCATGCAGGTCTGATCTCTTTTCTATTTTTTCCTCATCCAGTTCACGTAACCAAATCTTTATTGCATGAGAAACCATTGTGAAGCCTACTGCAAGATGACATCCTGCAACCACAACTGTGAAAATCTTGGACAGGTCTGAGCCCAATTTACAATCCATAGGCTCCCGTAGTGAAAAACTATCCAGACACTAAATACTTGCGCATCTACTTTAGGAGGTATAGTCCAGATCCTGGAGATCTCTTATTCTAGTCTATCCAAATTACTCTGGAAATATACTCTTTTTTTCTGTTTTTCTCCATTATGAAATAACAACATGCTTAGTGACATACATAACTTGTTAGTACACATCAAGCAAATGTTCTCGGCCGAGATAAGGGCCGTACAAACAGAGGTGCAAGCAGTCACACTCAGGGTCCAAATGACTGAAGCGGACCTCATCGACCTGAAGCACAGTCTGGCTTCCATTAATGAGTCAGTGCAACTACTCCAAACTTCACAAGCACACCAAGGTATCCGGATGGCTCAACTGGAGGACAGAGAGCGGAACGGAAACATCAAGATCCGCGGAGTGGTGGATTCACTCCCACCTGAGGAACTTCCCCACTTCATCAGACACCTAGTCTCCTATGTCTTACCTGCAAAAAAACACAAAACAAATTGCCTTCGACGGCATATACCGAATAGCCAAATCCTCACAGGCCCCCGGGACATTATCCTGTGTTGCCAGACTCTTGCCAATAAACAAAGACTCCTCAGCACCATAAAAGGGACAACTCCACTACAATTTGAATCGCAAACCCTTACATTCTTTCAGGATTTTATTGTGGCGAAAGCCAATGCAGCCAATCACAATAATCCTACAAAATGCTGGCCTCCCTTACAGGTGGTCATTCCCCAGAGCTCTCACAGTCAACCAAAATGGAAAGACTTTCAAACCCTGGGACCCTCGGAGGGAACAGCCTTCCTTCAAGCGCTTGGCCTACAGGATCAGACCGACGCAGCTGGCACAAGCCATGCCTTAAAGGTATGGCTTTATTGTACGATAGGCTTTGCCTAGTTCGCACAAAGAAGTTAGAAATTCCAAAATTTCCTTTACATGGAAAACATGGGATCTAAGTCCCATTCCATGCACCAAGAAGCCCATAATGTACAAATGGTCAGGCGATCATGGAGAATGGAGGGAACGTGTAATTGCGATTCTTGGACTAATCATGTAGAAAGGCATCTACTGCTTTCGATTCGAGTTCCAGTCTCCAGCTGAAAAATCTTGGTTGTGTGCTCAATCTTGAAGCAAAAAGGTTGATGGAAAAGGGTCCCCAAAGATGTAAGAATTGATTGTATACTGGCCTTGCTAACTGCCACTCGTTATGGTCCGCTGTTGTATTATGTAAACCTAGATTGTATTTTGCTTGAAGAGTGATGTTTTTGTTTAAACAAAACATCCAGAATTCCTTTGCTATTTTCGCTAGAATATGTGAATGATTCCACCTAAATGACTGGCATAATGTACTGCCAAAATATTATTCATCCTTAACAGGATGCAACAATATGCTTTGTCTTTAGTCAGACTTTTCAGAGCAAAAGAACCAGCAAGACGTTCTAAGCAATTACAGTAATGTGTAACTGAACTTCTTGATTGGACCATCTTCTGCCTGTTGAAATGTCGAATCTATGAATAAATCGGGTTCTGAACTGAAAATCCTTTCAAAGTTTTCATGTGGTTCGACCACCAGTGAAGTTCTTCCTATGCTTTCTAATGTAATGGAATGGGAGCCCCTATCTCCCCTACAGCCCCATCCCTGCTACTACAGCCCCTATACCTCTGACTACAGCCCCTATTTCCCCTTTTACAGCTCTGCTCCCCACTGCAGTTTCCCTTCCCCAATTGCAGCCCATATACCCCACACTACAGCTCATTTCTACAATGGCAGCCATCATTCAATTCAGCCCTACCTCCCCCCACTACAGTCCCTATGCCACAATAGATTTCCTGTCCCCCTTTACATCCTCTGTTCCACACTACAGTCTCTATCTCCCCACTACAGACGGTGTGACATTATCGGAAACATTATGTTTGGGCATTGTCATTAAAATATATATAAATAAAAAGAAATTTAATAAATTAAATAAAGGGGAATAATTTTTTGACAGGAATTGTGTTAAAAAAACTTTTTAAAACACCTAAATATCCCTTATATATGAGCTAGCCAGCAAAAATAGCATCAGGACCACAAGATCCCCACAGTTGTGCAGTTGCCCAGTCCGTGTGCACAGCTGATCATTGTGAGTGCAAGAACTAAAATAGAGAAAAAATAGAGAAAAAATTGTCATTTGCAACTAAAAACAAAAGGAGGTCAGCAGGAACATAAGAGAAAGCTTAGAATTAATTTGGAGCCGAAATGTGTATAAAGAAAAAACTTATTCCAGCTCTAAATAAATATAGTATGTAGAAGTGCGTGCACATGCGCACAACATTGGGGAAATATGGTGGATGCAACCAAGAGTAAATGGTTGGGCGTAAGATGTCACCGGTAAGGGAAAAAAGAGGGATATATGTACAAAAAACAAAAAAATGAAGAAAAATAAAGAAGAAATAAAAGCAATATCAAGGCACAAATTGGGAATATTAAGAAATTATAAGCAAAAAATAAATAAGCAATAAACCAAATAGAATTAAAACAAATAAACTGTAAATCAGAAAAATCTAAATATATGTGTTTCTGAGGTACTTAGCAGCAGAGCAAGAGGACTATGAAATGTTCAATGCTCCTTTTATAACCTGCCACTGACTTTGATTGTTTAATAGTTCAGATGTAATTAAATATTTAATGTTTTATGTTTATTTGTCAATTTTTCTTTGCTGCTCTTCAAAGTAAAGGAAGAGATATGCATAACAGGAGTCTCCATGTCTTGTAATAAAATCTAGAAGCCCATGAATGTGCCAGACCCTAGGCCATCAAAGGCTTACATGAGGGCCTAATATCCACCCCCCCCCCCCCAGCTCCTTTATCATGTAAAATCCCACAGACCTAAACCTACCCACGCTCTGACCACAGGGATGCAGAGGCTTACCCTACACCTCCCCTGATATGGACACCTGTGACCCCCCCGTCAGGGTGTCTCCCGACCCCACAGGGAAGGAGGGGGGGGTTGGGGTTCTACCAGACCGGTTGTGTTACCATCAAATGCATGCTTAAGCTTTTGTTTATATATGTCTACTGTTTTACTACAATAGGGTCGGCTACTGCAACTCTGCCGGGCAGCTTGGTTGACTCTACTTTGCAATCCTCAGGCAGAGTATGACGATAACAAAAGGGACACCCAGCCAAAAACAAACTCCACCATGGGGATGACCCCGACGCTCCCTCACAGGACGCACAACGCCATCTCTTAAGCCCACCTACTTACACACCCTGCACATCCACACAAACCACCATTCTCCATCAGACCATGCCCCCACACGATGACATTTCAGGTCTCTCTGAGGGAGATGGGTGGGTGAGGGAAGCGGTGGGGACTTGTCCCCTCAAAGCACATACCTGACTATTGCATAAGGTGAACACAACCGACGAGAATTCAGGCACCCACAGCACAAAACCCAACAATCCTGAACCACTAGCCCTATGTACCCCCCAAGCCCCAACACGAAGTACGACAGACAAGGTATCTGTGGGCAAAGACGACATCATATGACCAAACCCTAATAAGAGCGGTATGCCGGAGCGTGCTTAGGCCCCCACGGAACGCACAGACAATCTCAGACAAGGGCACAAGAGGCACCTAAGATATTATCATTGCCCTGAGCCTGACTATAATGGATTCCTGGCTATGTTATGTTATGTTATTTCATGTTAACTCAAGTTATGTTATGCTGTGATGCGTTAGCCAAACGTTAATGACAATTTCTTATTTTACATGTGAAGAATGTATGCTCCTGTATGCTTCAACTCACTCTCAAGATGTACAACGGTCAACCACCACACCACTCAAGGTTAGACAACACCACATATGTGGCCCTAGGCACAGATTGACCTCCTCCTTTCTACTTCTCCCCACCACACCACACCTATTCAGGGATCAAAGTGAACTTTCTGGTCACTCTCCACCCCCAGGACGGCCTGGCAAAATCTCAGTAAGACCAGGTCCACAACACACATGAACACAACCCCCTCAACTTCACACACACCCTACACTCACCCCCCCTTCACCTCCCTACGCCCCCTCCTCTTCTCTTGTCTTCCCTCCTTCTTCCACTCCAACACGAGCTCCACCTCCCTCCCCTCCCCTCCCCTTTAATCAATTCCTCTTTCCATTCCCCCCTTGGTCCTCCTCTCCCGCCTCTGTCTGAATAGGGCCCCCCGCAGGCTCACCCCTCTGTCACACGAGCACCGAGGGGCACTATGCCCATGAACCTCACATGTACCTCATTAAACCGCAAAGGCCTGAATAGCCCTGACAAACTACACTGCCTTCTCCGGTGGGCCAAGCGATCAAAAGCAGACATCATCCTCTTGCAGGAAACACACTACGAGCAATCCAGAGCTTTCCCCCTCCTGAGTCGACACTGCAGGGACTGTTTCCTGGCGAACTCCCCTCAAGGGAAAACAAACAGGGAAGCCATATTAACCCCAAAAACTTGCCCCCTAGTCTTCACATGCACGTCAATGTGCATGTCACGTCAAGGCAGGTTCATAATCCCCCACAGATGACAGAAGAAGGCCTCCAACACGAACCTCATGACCCCCTACTGCTACTGGATCCGACAAAATGCTTCAGGCCTTCGTGAACCGAACCTACCTCCTGGATGCATGGAGAGTACTCCACCCCACCACAATGGTCTTCACCATTTACTCGAACCCGCACTCCTCCTACTCATGCATCGACATGTTCCTAACCTCCTACTCTTTAGTGCCACACATCACTGACGCGGCAATAGGATCAATCACATGGTCAGACCACACAGACATTCTCCTATCCTTCACAATCCCACACACGACCATAAACTGGTCTGGGCGACTTAACCCCATACACCTCCACAATACACACATAAGAGACACGATCCAACAAGATATCACGGATTACTTTAACATCAATTAAGATTCCGACACCTCCACGAGTACACTCTGGGCAGCCCATAAGGCAGTCCTCAGGGGCAAGCTGATAGCGGCGGCCACAGCACACAAAAAACAACAGCTCGCACTATTTGAAACACATTTGTCTGCACTACGGGAAAATGAACTAAAGCATAAACAAAACCCAACCTTGGCCCTGACAGCACAACTCCAAAAACACAGGCAGGAGATACAAGCATTCATGGCACAAGACTCAAAAAAGCACTCCAATGGACAAAACAAATATTTTACGAAAAATCGAAAAAAGCTCCAACAAAGGACCCAAAATAAACGCATTGATAAGATATAAACACCAAATGGACAAACGTGCATACTCCCAGACCAAATCGCGACAATATTCCAAAACTACTACTCTTCCCTGTACGATCACAACCCCGAATTTAGACAGAACGGAGACAGGAAGGTTCCTGAGATCGACTCCCTTGCCAACACTGACAGCGGTGGGCCGGAGAAGCCTTACCACACCCATAACTGAAGAAATAGCACAAGATATAAAATCCCTGAAACCCACCAAATGCCAAGGCACGGACAGGTTTTTGGGTATCTACTACAAAACATTCCAAACCCTATTCCTACCACACATTCTATCCCTATTTAACTCCTTTCTGAGGGGGGAACCCCTGCTCCCCCGGACATGCTCTGGGTCAACATCTGTCTGCTCCCAAAACCACATAAAAGCCACCTAGACCCAGGCCACTACTGCCCAATATCGTTGTTAAACACAGAAGTTAAACTATTCACAAAACTCTTGGCAAATGTTATGGTTCAATTATCTTTAGACAGAGAATTTGTGGAACACGACTGCAGAGTTAATTGTTAGTACTATAACTTTAATAAAAAGAAGGAGAACTTCCAATATAGTTTCTCAAATAGGTTTTATTATCTCTTATTG